AATAAAATACTACTCATGTAGGGCTTCGGCTCTGCTTCCTGTAGGCTGCTGGGCGAGGCTTCAATCCAACAAGCACCCTAAACCCTAAACGCTACAACCTGAACCCTGTTCCAGAACAACTCTGGACATTCTTAGGGGTTTAGGGCTTAAGGTCAAGGGCGTGGGGGCTTTAGGGATTTGGCTTTGGATTTTAGGGCTTAGGGTTTTAGGGTTTTAGGTCTTGGTTCTGGTCTTATGGTTTTCGGCCTTAGGACTTTAGGGTACAAGGCTACGGGGTTTGGGGTTTTAGGGCTTAGGAATTTATGGTTTTAGATCTTAATTAGGGTTTTACGGTTTCAGGGCTTAGGACTTTAGGGCGCAATGAGGGTTCGCAGGTTTTAGGCTTAATTTTCTTTTGGTGGTAGGGAGGGGGGGAGAAGGTGGGTTGAGGGTTTTAGAGGTTTTTTTTGCAACTCGCCTTTGCTGAGCGCGGAAACGGCTTCAAGCCAAACGCGGAAAAAGGACTCCACGGTTTTGGAGGTTTAGGGCTCAGGGTATGGTTTTTAGGTCTTCGGACCTGAGGGAACAACTTTGAATCCTTGAGGCTTAATTGCATTTGAGGGTTTTGGGCTTAGGGACTCTCATCATATGTGGTTAGGCGTCAAATGTAAGTGACTATCCAGCCCGGACATCTGCATAGGCTTCGGGTATGGGGGGGAGCCTGAGCTAATACCCTGGGGCTCACTGCACAGCTTTGCAAAGTGTCCTTACCTTGACTGAAGGATTGGTGAGCTATCTCAGTATTGTCTAGTTACATGAATCTGAACTTCACATTTGGAGAAACCCATAAAATATCTGCAGCTTCCCCTAACAAGACCATCTTGACAAAACATCTTCTGGGTTCCTAAGCCCTAAACCTTGAACCCTAAACCCTAAGCCCTAAACCTTAAACCATGTAAGCAGCTGTTAGTACCAAGGCCACGGCAAACTTCTGCACCTGATCACGGAGAAGATCCTTCCATGGAGCATCTTTGGGGCTTAGGGGTTTAGGGCTTTAGGGTTTAGGGGTTTAGTCTTGGGTTTAGTCATTGTTGGGGTTATAACCCACAGTAGATATGATTTCTGAAATTATCATTGGGCTTATAGCCCATAGTCGGGATTATAACCTTGGTTAAATAGATTAATCCGACTTAAACGTCCACTTGCACACATTTCCTTTACGTCCCATAGACCTCCAAATTCAGTCACAATGACGCAAATGAGCCGAGACGTTGGGTCTTCAATGGGAGGAGACATCGTGGTTTCCAAAGAGTATGTTCGTGGTAGAAAATTTTTGATTTGTTTCACAGACCTGGCGGGTCCGAAAACAGGAGCGAAGAGCCGTCCAAATCACGTGTGTACTACACGTGCCAAATGCCGCGTAGACACAACCCCTGAAACATCATTCGGTCCGTAGGAGTAAACGGGGACAACAACCTGCGGCGCCTCGGTATCACAAGATCCTACCCCCTAAGGGTCCAAGGACCC